TATATAATTTTAAAATAATAAATTTCAAATTTAATATTATACATATCAAACAATTTATTTAGTTCAGCATTTAAATTTTTATCAAATTGTTTTTTAACTTAATAAAATCAACATTTAATTCTTAATACTTAATTTTCAGTGTTTCAGCCTTCAGTTTTCAATTTTTAGCTTTATCAAACAGCACATTGGTCTATACAAAATTCTTGAGATCACTGCTGGAAAATCCATTTTCAAACGCCGCTAGAAGTACTAAAAATATCGCTAATTCTTTTTGTGACGTTTAGTACCAAACGCCGATGACGTGGCCGTCGCTATAACTTTATGACGTTTGGAAAACGTCGTTATATTAGTATAGGCGGCGTTTTTAAAAACGCCGCCAAATGTCCTACTAACTGTACTATGACGTCACTATGACATTTAGCGACGTTTTTGAAAACGCCGTCATAGACATTTATACATTTTAAAAATTTAGCCGTTGGGGTGGGATATAGTGACTTTTTTTAAACGCCGCCATAGCCTTTTTTTTTAATTTTTTAATTTTGTTAATTTTATATGGTTGAACAATTATTAAGAACAATTAATTGATGTTTATTAAAATAATAAATAAACTAAGCTTGAAAACAAAATTAAAAATAAGAAACAATGCCTTGCATACCTAAGAATAGCAACAATTCAGACTTTAAATACATCAATTAAAATCAAAATGGTCAAGAAGTTTAATTTGCCCAAAAAAATTAAAAAGGAATAGAAAGCACACTAATATGGATTGATCTAATACCCAGTACAAAATTTTAGGGTTTTTATTTTTATTTTTTATACCTAACATCGCTCAATCTAAAATGAAGATACATCTCACATAAAACAATGGTGGGTTGTCTGCGATTGACAAGTCAATTGGCCATTGGTGGTGTGGTTCAGTTGCTATTTTCCCGCTAACCCACCAACTCCATGCCGAAAAAGAGCACAAACACATTGCTCAGTTGGAAAATGTAATGACCTAATTTTCTCAAATTATCACAACAAAGAAAGCAACGTAATAATATGAACACAAGCAAAATTAAAAGAAAATCTATTATATGTCGGGGCATAATACAATTCAGCCAATTCAATTAAACAAAATGAAACAAGCAACTATGAAAAACTTTGATATGGGAAATGACTATTGATTTGTCATCTTCACCTTCAAAAATTGAATCATATATCTGAAACACACTTCAGCTGCCCAATCTCCCCGGTGAGATTGATTGACCCCATCATCCATTTTAGCTGAAGTGAGAATGTGTTTCAACCAATAATAATATGAAACACAGACAGGGCAATTCACCGTTTCTTTTTTTTTTTTAATGACAATACAGTTTGATCACTGAATCAGCACCCACAGTGAATAACCATGGTTGCCTAGGGTGGAACTTGCAGTCCATTACTCCTGTAAAAGGCAAAATGAATCAGAGAAGCCACCAAAAATATTATCAACCCAAATATTAGTAAGATACACTCTGGACATTTATATTCAGAGATTTCAGTATCTATATTCACAAGGGCGCATTCTATGTTGCATGTCATATTATTATTTCCACACAAATAGTGTACCTTTTGCGAGTAAAATCAATAGTAGAAGGTGCCAAAAGCAAGGACCTGGGTTATCAGTAGGGAGAGGCTAGTTCGATCCCAGCCAGCCCTACCGCATCGCAATGAACCAAAAACAAAACTGGCAATACATAACTACTATTTTTGTAACTGAGAATCGATTGGAATACAATCATGCAGTGAGTCAACAGTAAAGCTCTACCAGGAGCTTAACAACCTGCCTCCCACGAGGTCAACTTTTTTTTTCAAGTACAATTAGGCCAACTTAAAAAAGGAATCAGGGTTGGACAAGGAACAAGCCAGCCCACTACTCCCATCAAATCAAGATTCCACAGAGAGAACCATCTCCGGAATACATCAAAACTAGAACTAGACTTGGTAGCATGCATATAATAGAAAGCACACTAATATGGATTAGAAATAATATCACGCGTCGAGCCTACCACATCACATCGATAAACAAATGTTACTTCGGTGGTTTTTTTCATAATTCAGGCAGCAATACTTATATCACATATCAATAAAAATAGCAACGTAGGTGTCATTTCAGAATGCAGCATAACATAAAAGGAAAGTATTTTCCCCTCTCTGTAGACAGTGAGGCCAAATGAAGCCCAAGCTTACTCATATAAATTCCAAGGCACAAATAGAAAAAATGCACAAAATTTAGTTATTGGGCCCTAACAGTGTTGAATGGGATACAAAGCACAAAATACAAAGAACACACATCACACCTTGACCTGCAAGTAAAATTTATTAAGATTCCTCACTTTTTTCAATTTTCAAGAGCGAGGTATGACTTCTTATTAACCAAAACTACCATCTTGCATTACATATATTAGTCTCTATATGTCCAATGTGCTCAACAGTTCTTAAACCAAGCTACAAAAATGAGAAAAGAGGTATCTGAGAAATTCCTAGTTGGGATACAGGAAAATATGAAACTTTGGAGAGGGAGAGAGAGGAAATGTTGGCCAAATTAGGTGATGCCCAATTTGTATCAAAATGAAATACAAGAATACAAGACCAACCGTATGCATTAAAACAAACTACAAAATTATCAAAAGTATTACCTTAATGAGGGAAACTGGGAAAGAGCACTGTAGCTATTTTAGGATCAAGAAAGCAAAAGGGACTCTGAAAAAAATTTCTCAAATCTTCTCTCATCAAATCCTGCAACTTCAGACATAGAAAGTTGAACAAAAGTCAGCACTTGAATTGTCAACTGCACTTCTCAAGGTTTAAAGTTGATTGAAAGAATGGATATCATTTACCAATGTGTTGCAACAACCCTTTTCTTGTCCTCCCAAGTGGGCTTCCATTTAAGTTTAGTTGATTGAAAGAATGGATATCATTTACCAATATCCTGTTTTTCTTGTAGTGACTTCTACAATTACGTTTCCCATCCTTAGGGTTTCTGTAATCACCTGTTATAATTATTCAATTAACAATTAACATTTTTTCAGGACAAAGGAACCAAAAAAAAAAAAAAGACAATGAAGCTGGTAAAACTTTGGACTATTAAGGATAGTTATTATGATCTTAGTTTATCAGGTAAAATAATTCATACAAAATTATGTTATTTGGTTCCTTGTAAAATTATTAGCTAAAAGCCAGTAAACTAGAAATGCTACTTATTTAGAAAAATTACTCAAAAAAATTATCAAAATTTAAAATGTATAAATTTAAAATTTATTAGAACACATCACATCATTCATCAAAAAAAATTAAATTTGCACCATCCACGTAAATTCTTTTTAATATTTCTGATTACAAGAATAAGCATCAAGAGAAACTAGAGAAATAGCACTCATTTTTCTTTTGGGAAGAGAGAGAGAGAGCAAACATTTTTTTGCTTCATCTTGGATGTATATGGGGTGATCATCTCTCCAATCCTCCATAGATTGTTGGAGATACTTGTGCATGTCTTAGGTGATCTGAGCTTTGAGATGTGAGGATTTGAAGAAAGACCCTATGAGGCCATGAATTCTCCTTTGCAAGCTTCCAGTGATGAGCAATATAGAAGACTTACCCATCAACTCAGTGAGAGATTTAGGGTAAGAAGGCAGAAAAAGCCTTGCCATTTGGGAAGTAAGAAATAAGCCAATAAGTGACATTACCAAAATACCCTCGCTAGTATGGTTTTTAACAAAAATGCATTAATAATGCATGAGGGTAATATGATAAATTTATAATTTTATAAGTGATGTAATACTGTATAATAATAATTTTCAAAAAAGCAAAAAAGTTGCTTATTTAGTACTTCTCAAATAATTTTGTAAATAAGTCAAAAAGTAAAGAAATAAGTCAAAAAATTACTTATTTCTATCTTCACAAAACAATCTCTGAAACGTTATCTCATATAATGATGACAATGGTGGATCAAAAATGTAAACAAAAGAAAAAAAAAAATTTGATAAGTTAAGGATCATAAATAAGGATTGTTAAACAATCTTGCATACCTTTTTTGTTTTTCTTATTATAGAATGAATCACAATTATATATATATATATATATATAGAAATAAATATGAATTTTTGACTTTGTAATGAGATATGAGACTTCTAGCTAACAGGCTAAGCCTTATTGGTTCTAATTGGGCCAAACCACTATTGGGCTAGAATCCTAACAAATTGATTTTGAATTTCAGGCCCAAAAAGAAAAAAAAATCCCATTCAATGTGTTTGGTTTCAGTTTTTTGAAAATTGAGTTTCTTTTATTTTTCATAATTTTTTTTATTTTTAGTGAATATTTTTTAAAATTTGAGCAATTTTTCTACATTTTTAGATATACCTTATTTAGATGTATCTAAATAATAAATTATTTGTGAAAAAATATTTTCAAAAATTAATAAATACATAAAAATATGAAAAATGTACTGAATTTTCTTCTTTTTTTTTTGTATTTTTGGTACTTAGAGAACTTTTTAAAGATTTTTTTTCACAAATATTATATTTTCTAAGTGTATTTATGTTAGGTGTGTCTAAAAGTTAAAAAAAATTACTTAAACTATTAATAAAATTCAATAAAAACAAAAGAATATGAAAAATAAAAAAGTAGAATTTTTTGAAAAGTAAATTTTGAAAAATGGAAACAAACAGAGTTTATGCTAAGCAAAAGGCCACCGATACAATGGGAAGCAAAGATTGCATTTGGAATAATCATACAGGAGTGACTTGTTATCACTCTGTTGAGGAGGGATAATTAGGCCTCTCCAGTTCACTGATAAAGTGATAATAAAGGCTTTAATTATTTATTTTACAACAAATAAGAAACGTAATCAAGCATTTACTAAGAGAGAAAACCAATGGAAAAATGACTGCTTTTGCCCAAGTAAGTAGTTAGGATAAATAAAGCCTAATTGATTAAAAGTGAACTGATATCTATGAACTTTTTCTTAGTATATTACATACTCATCTATTCTGATGAAAGTGAACAGGATAAGAGGATAAAGATGGTTTGTTAAACAGCATCAATAAACATTTTAATGACATTGCACTGTAAAAGTTTACCTGGCTAGACTTTTTATTGGAATCCGAAACGGTGACAAGACTATTGAGATTGTCAATTTTCATTTGTTGTTCCCTAATTAATGCATTGATCTCGTGCTTTGTGTGATTTCCTCTATCTCTAGTTTTTGTCGCTTCAGTAAGGCAGTATCTGTCAAAATCTACAAACAAAAAGAAACAAAACAAAAAAAAAAAATCAACTCCAATTAGCCATACCATTAGATTTGAAAGGAGCAAGGAATAAACTTTAACATAATAATTTTTACTTAAGATAATATGCTTAATCATTATTTAAAAACTATTTGCAAACAAAATGATGTCAAACCCATAGGGACCAATTAAGTTAAAACACGATAATTTACACAATCAAGGCAAGCTCTCAATGAACAAATCCAGAAATGTTTAACTTTTTGGCTTTCAGAAATCTATGTAACAACTTGGTGATTAAACTGCAAATACACAAGGAAGTGGTGCTATAATGCAATATATGATATAAGTAAGATCCTTCAATTTATAAACATTGGAAAATGTTCCATACTTAATATTTTCAAAGTCATTTTAATTTGATGCCACCCACGTTAACATTTTTGACATTCTAGTTTAGCCCATTTGAACTAGTTCAAGTGTAAAGTTCCTAGTTTTTTTTTTTTTTTTTTTAACAAATCATTATTTTACAACGACCAAAACCATAAATGAAGTCAATATTGAAACTGGAAACTTAAGAAAGAGGTAACCATCCAACCAACTGTAAGCTACTTTTCAATTGGATACAGCATGAATCATGTAAACCATCACATTTAGGTTTTCTCTTTGGCTCAACTCATTTAAAATTTATGAACTTCCCCATGATAAATTACAAACCATAGGAAAGAAATCAATATACAAAAAAAATTAAGAATATTCAACATGCCCTCATCTCAAAAATAAAAAATTCTAGGAACACTTTAGACACTAACTTCTATTGAATCCATATTATATATTACCTTTTACAGCTAGATTCTACTAAAAAGTATGTCAGGGACAAACAATATGGCAGCTACAGTAACAAAAGTATATGTTGAAGTAAAATGTTGTAATCTTACTAAGTTGGAAAAGAATTAAGTGTTATTAAACCAAATAACTAACAACCCTCATTCACTTGAACACAATTTGTTATTCTCTTGGCTCTGCTAGCAAACTGGAGGGTTCCTTTCGTTTCCTCTATGTGAATCTGGATGAAGTAGCCATATTAAAACCATACTATAATGTTAAACTTGATGTAAGATATATATATATACACACATATAACTCGATAACATATTAATAACCTACCTCTTCTGGTGCTAAAGTGCAAATTATAGAAGTTTTGGCATTGCCACCAAGAGCAGGTTGAAGTATGCGAGTGAGCTTACTATCCCGATAAGGAATGTGTCCCCTGCATTTATATTTTGATTCATTTAGACAGTTGTTTTATGAGATGGATTATTAACTTAAGGAGGCAAATACCTTTGCTTTGCACCATCACTTAGTTTGTTAATCACATTGCCAAGAATCATTAATCACATCTCTTAGTAAATGCTTGATTGCTATAAGTTTGCTTCGCTTCTTCAAGCTCCACCTCTTACTAACTAATCTGACAAACTTAAACTCTCAAAACCTGACCCTCCATGCGATTAGTGGAAATTCCTAGGAAAATAATAAATTAAATTTCAACTCTTAACTCTTACAATTCATGTTCTTTTTGTTTCAACAAGCAAAAAAACTCCATGATTTAAAAAATAATAAAAAAATAATTTCAAATCAGCCAAAACTTGTTGGCTACTAGATTCTTGGCTATTTGGGAGTCAAAATCGTGAGAAACCTAACATCATATTTTAATAAATTTCCTTTCCTAGATTTCCTTCTAACAAAGCAGAGCAATAATTTAAGTTCAACCCTAGTTTCTTTACATCAGCATTTCTCAGCAGCCAAACAAAGACTACAAAAGTATAAAAATGCTCTCAAAAAACAGGACTCTCACCATAGGATGCCCCTATGTAGTCTTGAGAAGAGAAAGTCAAAGCTGAAATATTAAGCCATGAAATGAAATGAAATCCAGAGCAAACAAATAAATTAAATCCAATGAACAGACCAAAACATGAAATGAAATGAAATCCAGACCTTGTTGAAATGCTCATATTGCCTATTGCCAAGGCCAAACACTCCGTACGAAAGATTAAGCCATTTCTCTCTCCTTTACCATATAGGCAGTCATATAACACGCCATGAAACCCAAATCTCACTTGGTAAAAGAACCATAGTAACAATAAAAATTAGAAATTAATCAAAATTTACCTCTGAAAACCACTTATAGAACCTTGCAGAATTGTCAATTGGCTCACCATCTCCATATCTATACCACAGCAAACAAATAAATTAAATACAATGTTATATACCAACAATACATGAGTATGTATATATGTATGTATGTGATGTGAAGTAAAAACTCACGTAGCTAAAAGGAAAAATGCCTAAATAATATAATGAACTGGAGAAAGAATCAGATTGGAAGAGTTATTGAATTCTTCCAATAACAAGATAGCTTAGCTTAAGTTCATCTTCCTAAATAATTATCCAAAAATCAGATTGGAAGAGTTATTGAAATCTTACATTTTAGGATGATGAAGCCACTAAATAATAAGAAAAACAATACAAACAAACTACTAGCTGTTGTAGAAGCAACCGCGGTGCAGAAGACAGATGCCACAAAACGAAACATGGATGTAGCTGCTAAGTGTAGAGCTAAAAATAGAATGCACCGGAGAAAGAACCTAAGATACAAGGCAATGATAGAAATTAATTCAAAATTCCTATTCAGTTTCAGAAGGGTGTGTTTGTGTATGGTGTGAATGTTTATTTGAAAGTACCAGTAAAGCTTCTGGTTGCTAAATGACTAATCTGAGTAGTTGATTTAAATAATGGTAAAACAATGACAACTTGTTCAAATCAAAGACATATTTGGAGAAAAACAAAATATATATATATATATATATAATGAAGAATAAAATGCAAGCGTTGTCAAGTGACACTAACCTCCCAGCATCAGGACTGTATCCAACGAGATGTTCAAATTAGAGCTGAAAACAATGAAATAGGAACCTTCAGAATGGTGGCTAGGATTGCATATGCCCAAGCTGGATAGAAGTACAAATCTCTCTGTTTGTAGAAAACTGCAAGTCTTCCAACAGTCAGGGACAACTCCGGAAATCCATCAAAAAAAAAGTTCATGTAACCAATCTCTACACTTCATCGGCACCTACAGAGAAATCAAACACCGATTAACACTTGTTAATGAAAAACAAAATAAAAACGACTTGCTTGAAACCTTGTTAATAAGTAGATTTAACAAAATGCGAGAGAGATCAGATCAGATCGAGTTCGAATTTTGATCAGATTAGATCAACTTTCTTGTTCGATTTCGGATCTACAATCTGCGAGACAGATCGAGTTCGAGTTCAATGAAGAAAAGCTAGAGCAAGAACCAATCTAACAAAATGCAAGAGAGATCAAATCAGATTGAGTTTGGATTTCGATCAGATAAGATCGACTTTCTTGTTCGATTTCGGATCTGCGATTTGAGAGAGAGAGAGAGAGAGAGAGAGAGAGATGAAGAACAGCTAGAGTGAGAAAGATCGAATTCGAGTCCGATGAAGAACAGCTACAGTGAGTGAGAGATCGATATTAAGAGAGAAGAGCAGCTCATAAGAGATTTTGTTACCTATGGTAATTGGAATGGGTTAAGTGTCTGTTAAGTAAAATAGATTTGGCTCATTGAGACCATCAACAGGGCATCACGCCTCGAAAACGTGTTGGCTATTGAGATATAGCACGGCGTTTTATAAAACGTCTTTGATTAAAGCGCCATTATAGGCAACTTTTCTTGTAGTGGATTAAACGAATCACTACTTTTTAAGATGGAATTAAAAAAATTTCCTTAAAAAAATCATTAAATACAAATGAAAACCTGTTTAAAAACTAAAAACTGCATGCAATGAATCAATGAATCAAAAGCATTATCAAATAATTCCCCACTGAGAATAAAAAGAACTTTAATAAATAAATGACTGCATGCATTTTCAACAACTTTACTATTCTAAAAAGAGAGAACTTCAACTTGGCCATAAAAAGGGGAAATTGCATTTTGATGGGAAGTAGAAAAAATATTTACATTTTGATGAAAATTCAACTAATTTATACACAGTCTAGTGCATAAATCATTTGTACATCCATCAAAATGCTATAATTTACTCTAGACTCCACTGAAATGCAATTGCCCCCATAAAAATAACATCTACGTGTCTTCAATTAACAAATAGACTTGCATCCTGCTCAAGATCACTCTGGACTTCTCATATAATTCTCTCATTATTAATTAAAGTACTTACCAAATAAAAAAAAAATATGCTCAAAATCAGAGTTTATGCTTAACTGGCAAAAGCAGAACCTTGGGAAAGAGAGAAGCTGGAATGAAATTCATGCTCAACAAGGCTATGACATATTTACTAAAAGAGTTCAAAAATGATCCATGAGAGACCTAACCTACCAAGACATCCAAAAACAAAAAACAAATATCCACATGTTACAAATATCTTGATTGTTCTATTAATCAACAATATGGGCTAACTGTGGGGACATGTTTTTTGAATAACAACACATGGCCAAGGTGGCACCGAAGTGCTAGCCGAGATGCCACGTGTCCTGGTCTTGACGCCGAGGTGATCTCAGCTAGGCCAAGGTTATCTGCGAAGATACCGGAATTCGAGATAAACGAATAAGCTATAAAGAGTCCTAGAAGGGAGGAGGACTTCAGCCTGGATAAGGATAAAGCTCTTAGGGAGTTTATCTTGATCTATTGGAGAGTCCAGGATGAGCATTGGGCCACAGTCCAAGGGAAGCTAGGCTTTTACAGGGATCAAGTTAGTGCTGACTATAAAAGAAAGGCACCCTCATAGGTCTAAGGTACGCTTTCTGTATTCTGGCTTGTGAGTTAAGCACAATTGGTTATCTTTGAGAGATATTGATTACTGACTTGATCATCGGAGTGCCCCCCGAGTGGACGAACCACCACCGGAGTCTCATCTTTCTGTGACAGGTCGTTCTAGCGCAATCTATTCTGCCGGTGTTCTCCAACTGAGTACCTGTTTGGCAGTGTGGTCAGAAAATAGCACACACACTAACAGTCCTGTGCTGTTTGAAATCGTTGACTGTATCTTCATATATAAACATGTTATGAAAACAAAGCAACAAATTTTCAAATTTTTAGAACACCATGTCACAAAAGGCTTCAAGATATATCAAACTCCTCTTTCGTAGACACCAAATCCGTTCAACTTTCTCCAAACTTTGTTGCAAAACTTCACTTCCGACTTGCCAGTAATGTAAAAAGTTACTATGTTTTAGTAAGGTGCAACTGTTTTTTATTTGTAGCTAGCAATCTATGATAATAGTTTTGATCAGCACATTGTCAAAGACTTTGATATTAATGCATGCACATACTTCTAATCACATCGCAACCAAGTTGTCACCAAAAAAAAAAAATTCAATACTATTGATAAGTGTCGTTATCCTTTTTGCTAAAAATAAAAAATAAAAAATGAAGCGCTGTAATTATTTGCTAATGTGATTGAAGGTGTTACAAGCTCCAAAACTACCACAGCTTGCAAGCAATTCCTAACAAATGTTTCATTGTTCCCTTTAAAGTATAATTGTAGGATTCATATTGCTAAAACACAAAAGTTATTGGCTGTTGGAGCAGTTTTCTCGTAGACAAATTACAGGCATACTGAAAAATCTAGAAATCCCCTAAATACTTATTTGTGATTATATATCAATTTTAAGCAGTAAATAACAATCACAATCAAACAATCAAAGACAAATTGACACAACGATTTTAGCGTGAAAAAATCACAATTTAAGCACCTCCAATTGTGATAAAAAATCACGAGTCAAAGCCACAAAACAATCCGCTAAGAAGATAAAAGGAATTACACACGTGTACTCTCAATTACCTAGCGAATCTACGCCTGAATTGAACCAACCCCTATATGCCTCTTCTACCACGGCCTTCACCTCAGAATTGTCTTGTCCAACGTTGAACCCACAATATTGATGTCGAATCCATGACAATAAGCCACTCCAGAATCCACCAAAGCTTTAGGCCCAAATTTCACGGAATCCACCGAAGAACAACTCTCTCTTTTGTATTGAATAAATAAAACAAAACAAACCCTTTGATATAATTCACTCAATTCATGATTAAACTCTCACAGATATTAAAGGAAACAAGTAAAGAAGCTCCAAAAGAAAACCCTAATACCCATTAAGAAGATCTAGAAGTCGTCCCTTAAAATTGGACTGAAACACATATTTATAGGAAACAGATCCGTGATCTCCGCTCGAGCGCAAGAATGGCCGCTCAAGCGGATCTACTCTCGAGTGCAAGAATGGCTGCTCGAGCGAAAAAAACAACTCCAAGTACTTTTGCAAGCAGGTGAAACTTCTAAAAGGTCGCAATCTTCACTTGAGCATAAGAATGGCCGCCTGAGTGGACAAACAACTTTGACTGCAATTTTATTTTTTG